AAATGGTACACCAAAGAACCCAAGTCCGTTCGATTAACATATGTTTCAGAATTTTATGTGTATAGGTTGTTTTAAATTAGTTCAAATATCTATGTAGTCGACACATTTAATTTCGTCATTTCTTCAGGATATGAGCATCTCTTGTATTTACCCAAAGTGGTGAAGGGTATCATATAGCAGAAAGGACTCTGATTAGGTGAACGTACACTTTTTGGACTATCAGAAGGGATTGAAAGAGGACGAGCTGAAGAACGGGGTCCTCATAGACAAGCTGTAGAAGGGATTATTTACAGATGCGGTGAAGAAGGATTCTTCATAAACGAGCTGAAGAAAAGATTCTTCATAGACGAGATTAGGCAGAGAGTCTTCACAGATGCTCAGAAGAAGGGATTTTTCAGAGGCAAGCTAATTAATGGAATCTTCAGAGACAACCTGAATATGGGAGTCTGCACGGACGGGTTAAAGAAGGCATTCTTCATCCATGATCTGAAAACAAAATTCATAGAAGAGCTGAAGAAACAGCATATTGTACATATGAGCATCTCTTGTATTTACCCAAAGTGGTGAAGTGTATCATATAGTCGGCCCCGTCCGACTTTACTACTTTCCTTACTGGTTTTAAAATTAGATTTCTCTTGTTATGCATTATATTTGATTGAAATGTTAAGCAAATGATTTTCAAAACTAGAATTTCGATATCCCATAATAAGTACATCCTCACCGTCGTATTTGCTTCGATATTCAAAAAAAAAACCTATGTGTTTAGCTCTAATGATCATATTCTGTTTTTTTATTTTTCATTTCATACACTTGTTTACTTTTACAATTAAAATTTAATATATTTACAAATGTTAGAAGAGATTAGTTATTAATATTAATTAAAAATTAGCTTTACATAAAAAAAGTAGAATGAAAAAAATATTTACACTGCAATTTATATTACGGACTATTGATGTTTAGTAAAAAAGCAATTATTATTTGTTACAAAAAAGTTCGTTTTCAATGCATACCCAAATGTATTCGTCATTCGTTTCGCTTTTGTGTCATTGCATCGCATTCATATTTACAGACAGACACACATACACAAATGCGAGTAAATAAACATTTTGCAATTAGGCAAAATATTTTTGCAATTATTCAAGTCAAGTGTTAAAATGTGAAATGTATTCTCTGAAATTAATCGAAAAACCCCTTTTTTAGCATGATTCCAGGCAACACCATTACCATGCTACACCCCCCATCACTCACTCACACACACACACACACCCATTGACTATGTGACCCATCAGCAATGCCATATTTCGATTAGTGGCACCGGAGACTGGTATAGGGCATGCATTTCTAAATTGAACATTTGAGGTGAGGTAATGAAATGTGGCATTTGCTGATTGCATCGTCGATGTCAGCGTGTGTGTGTGTGCGGTGTGTTGTGATCAGGCTTGTTGTAGTAATGGTGCCATATTGTCGGAATTACCTTACGGGTACATACTACATATGTATTTATGAAGAGGTATGAACTATAATTGAGCGATATATCGATATGTTCGCCACATCGCCACGTTCACATAACAATTGCCAACAGGGAATCGCAGACAATTTGCTACGCAATTCGTGGTATACAAAAATTGATGAAGATGTTCAAGGTAATTTACAAATGCTGGCACAGTGGTTAAATGTGGAAATTGGATTTTTTTCGGGAATTTTTAAATTCGATTTCAATTCACTTTGATTACAATTCCTGATTCAGTCCACAGTGGCGTATGCGTAATGGCGATATGTATTCGTATGGGTGGGTTAGATGAGCTGCCGAAATATGTTTAGACTAGTAAAAGGGAGTATTTTCAGGCGAGATGAGCAGAAGCATATTTATACGTGTTTAATGGACTACCTGGAGTCAATCTCTTTAGAATAACATCAAAATATATTTTTATTAGATCAGTAAAATATAGCCTTAAAAGTCAAAAGGATTATTCTTAGACGAAATGAAGTCTATATAAATGAGATTTTTTTAGACGAGCAGAAGTCCGGTGTGTCGTGAAGACGTTCAGAACGATGTTTTATTGGAATTGTGCAGAAGAGATTTCTTATAGAAGAGATGAAGCTAGTCTTTATAGACGAGCAGAAAGGACACTGATTAGAAGAGGTGAACGTACACTTTTTGGACTATCAGAAGGGATTGAAAGAGGACTAGCTGAATAACGGAGTCCTTATAGACGAGCAGGAGAAGAGATTATTTACAGATGCGGTGAATAAGGCTTCTTCATAAATGAGCTGAAGAAAATATTCTTCATGGACGAGCTTAAGCAGTGAGTCTTCACAGATGCTCAGAAGAAGGATTTTTCAGAGACAAGCTAATTAATGGAATCTTCAGAGACAACCTGAATAAGGGAGCCTGCACGAACGCGTTAAAGAAGGCATTTTTCATCGATGGTCTGAAAAAAAATTCTTCATAGAAGAGCTGATGAACAATTTCCATAGACGAGCTGAAGAAGGATCAGAGCTGAAGAATAAAGAATTCATAGAAGAGCTGATGAACAATTTCCATAGACGAGCTGAAGGCTGGGAAGAAGGATCAGAAGCATTTCTTAATAGATGAGCTTCATAGACGAGCTGAAGAACGGAGTCTTCATAGACGGTTTGAAGAAGGGAGACTTCGTATATGAGCTTCAGAGGGATTTCTTCATACATAATATGGAGAAGGGAGTGTTCATCGATGATCTGAAGAAAAAAAACTTCTTAGAAGAACTGAAGAATAAGGAATTCATAGAAGAGCTGATGAAAAATTTCCATAGACGGGCTGAAGGCTGGGAAGAAGGATCAGAAGCATTCCTTCATAGATGAGCTTCAGAAGGTATTTTTCATAGACGAGCTGAAAAACGGAGTCTTCATAGACGGGTTGAAGAAGGGAGACTTCGTATATAAGCTTCAGAGGGATTTCTTCATACATAATTTGGAGAAGGGAGTCTTCATAGACTAGCTGAAGGCAGGGTGTTTTTGTAAACAAACTGAAGGTAATGACTCTTGACAGACGAGCTGAAGAAGGCAGTCTTCATAGACTGGCTGAAGGTAGGGAGTATTCATAGACGAGCTGAAGGTAGGGAATATTCATAGACAGCTGATCATAGACGAGCTGAAGGCAGGGTGTTTTTGTAGGGAATATTCATAGACAGCTGATGCCAGGGGGGTCTTCGTGGAGAAGGGATTCTTCATAGACGAGCTGAAGGCAGTGTATTTTTGTAGACAAGCTGAAGGCAATGACTCTTGACAGACGAGACGAGGGAGTATTCATAGACGAGCTGAAGGTATGGAATATTCATAGACAGCTGATGCCAGGTGGTCTTCGTGGAGAATGGAGTCTTCATAGACGAGCTGAAGGCAGGATGTTTTTGTAGACAAGCTGAAGGCAATGACTCTTGACAGACGAGCTGAAGAAGGCAGTCTTCATAGACTGGCTGAAGGTAGGGAATATTCATAGACAGCTGATGCCAGGGGGTCTTCGTGGAGAAGGGAGTCTTCTTAGACGGGTTGAAGGCTGGGTGTTTTTGTAGACAAGCTGAAGGCAATGAATCTTGACAGACTGATCTTCATAGACTGGCTGAGGTAGGGAATATGAAGGTAGGGAATATTCATAGACAGCTGATGCCAGGGGGTCTTCGTGGACGAGCTGAATAAGTGGATATTTCAGACGATCTGAATAAGAACGTCTTCATAAACGAACTGAAGAATAGATTGTTGATTGAAGGCAAGCAGTGTCTATAGAGTGGTATTTATAGGAGTGGTCTTTATAGATGACCTGTAGTCTTTATAGAAGAGCTGAAGGTCATGAAGTCATCATAGACAATATACGTTGGCCTTCATAGACGAGTTGAAGGCCAGGGGCTTCCAGAGGTCAAAAATTAGTAGTCTCCTTTAGACGAACTGATGGCAGAAGATCTATATAAACTACTTTTTATAAACGGACTGACTGGAGCTGAAACGATATAAAGATGGATTCCTTATTGACGAACTGTACATTTTATAGAGACGAAGAAGGTCAAGAAATTGTTAGACGAACTGATGGCAGAGGATCTATATAGACTACTTCTTATAAACGGACTTACTGGAGCTGAAACTAGATAATGATGGAGTCCTTATAGACGAAGTGTAGATTTTATAAAGGCGATGAAGGTTAAGAAGTTGTTATGGACGAGCAATTAGTCTTCATACTCGAGCTTATGGTATGGAGTATTTATATAGGCGATCAGAAGACAGATAACGTATTCATAAAAGAACACTTATTTATTATAGACGAACTGTAGGTCAGCACTATTGAGGTACTGGAGTTGTAGATGTTCTTTGGGCGAGCAGTAAGTCTGTATGGCGAGAGAACGACCTTAGTAGAACCTCTGTGGATAAATCGAAGAGACCCATTACCGACGAACATCTTTTCATCTGTTCGTTCGATTTTCCCTTAAATATCTTCAAAGCTTTATTTATTTTCTTTTTTTAACCACTGTGCCTTGTTATATTACCCCATTTTTAAATGTCTGGGAGCAGGCTTACAAATTTGCGGTTTACTACAACTACAGCTACAACTACAACATTTCACTACACTTTTAGACTGATTGCTTTATGGAAATTTGTGGTTAGTTCATTTGAAGGAGCGTCTTTGCTAGGAGGGTGGCTAGTAACAGCTTGGTGTCGGCACCAAGTGGTTATGGAAATGTGCAAAAAATATATGTGGATGACAAGTATGTGCGTGTGTAGGTGAAGGCAGTGAATTTCGATTGCATCTAACGTAACGTGATCTTTGCAGTGTTTTTGTGTTAGCAAAGCGGGATAGTGTAGAGATAATTTAACACACAACTAGTGCCTGAGCATGCATGCAGCTTTGATGTTAGAGGATGTTGTTGTCTATGTTTTTTAGTCTATTTCTTTAATTTTTTTTGTTTTGTGCTCTAGATGTATATGTAGTTGTGGACTGGTTTATATGTATGTTGTTTGGTTGGTTTTGGGCTTACCTGCATTGAACCAGATATAGATACACGCTCGCTTAGTATCTCATGCAAATGCCGAGTTCCCATTGTGTTTCGTAGAGTAGTCTGTGCCAATAATCGTGTCGAGTGGTGAGCATTCTCCACGTTCGCTATAGAAACTGTCGCATTCGAAACGCGATAGTAAACCACTGCATCCACCGAGACCGTCACACTATCCTTAGTCAAAACCTACAACATTTGCAGTGGAGTAACAACGGATTTGTTTTTTGGCGAGGGGCATTGGCGGTGGGGTCGTTCGTTGTTTTGGGGGGAAAAAAGAAGAATGTTGGGGAAATATTTTGTTGTGTTTATTTGGTTAGTTGCCACTTTCAGTATGTACGTCGAACGAGTATGTATGTCTACATATATTCATAAAGATAGTTTCTCGTTTTCTTTTGCATTTTTATGCACAACTCTACAACGGAACTCCTTGTTTGGTATATATGTATGTGTTTCTTGTTTAAGCAAGGTAGTTCGTCGTCGTTGTTGTAGTTGGTGCATACATAAACATACATACACAGACTCACACACATACATACAGAAAAAATCTCAACAACCAAAAGATGTTGATGAACAAAACACAAAAGGAAAAAAATAAGAAAAACTAAAACAAATAATAACACATACGAAAAATATAGTTTTGTACATTTCTTTGTTGTTGTTGTTGTCGTTTACATTGAGTTGCAGTTAAAAGTTTCGTTTTGTAAATTGTCCAGGTCCCTGTGATCGGTCGGTTCACATCATTGTTTGCATGGGAATTTATTTACCATTCGTTGTTTTCCAGAAACACCCTTTGGCTTTTTTGTTTGGTTTGCTAGGTTTCACTGGAAAAATGCATTCCTCGACTGGAGAAAAATATGAAATTTAATTTATTTCGCCTTTGTGCGTGTGTATGGAAAATTACGAAGTACCAAAATAGAAGGACTCTGAGCTTTCCTTTGCCGAATATGGACGGCATTTAATAAACGGTTTGGTACAAAGCCTTCAAAGTAAGACTTCAAGATAATGGTTGCTACGAATGAAATATGGTTTTATTAAATCAATATGCCTTTGAAAAATAAATGGAAAGTTTATTAATTTCGAGAATTTTATTCAATATTGAAATATTTGAAATAGGGTTCTATTCGCCACTTGGAGTATTAAATAAGACATATATTTAATGTTTTCTATTTTTAGATATCCTTAGGTCCAATAGTTTACAATAGAACTTTTTACGAGAGAATGTATTTGACATATATACAAAGTAATTGAAAATTTAAATCCACTGCTAGGCTAACAAAATCCGGTACATTGTAAACGTACTATTACTTTTTCAAAAGGGTTTTTATTCTAATATAAGATCTTTTATTCTATAGAAGTCCCTTTAGATCGACCGTCTTCATAAACGAACTAATGTCCATCCCCACAGACGAGCTGACGGTAGTTTCTTTAGGTGAGCTGTGAGTATTCTCTAAAGACGAGCGGTAGGTTGTTTCAACCTTAGGCGAGTTTTTGTATCTATAGACGAGTTGGAGGGTAGCTCTATAGAGGAGCCCTGCGGGACGTCTCTATAGAGAAATAGGCGAACGAGCTTAAGACCGTGTCTATAGGCGAGTTGAAGTGTAGACTACCTAAAAGCCGATTCAGTAGACAAGCTGTAGCGCTTATAAATATAATAACAGGATATTGTCTAGAAAAATTTTAATTTTTTTGGACGAGTTGTTGGTCGTTTTTATACCCTTCACCACACTGTGGTACAGGGTATTATGTCTTTGTGCATAGATTTGTAACAAGCAAACGGAAACGAGATAGACACATGTTTCCTTTTTAGAATATGCATAGAATCACTTTTTAAGTCGATTTATGCTTGTCCATCCGTACGTCTGTCTGTCCATGTTAATTTGTAAACAAGGTACAGGTCGCATTTATAATCCGAATTGGATAAAATTTGGCATATGTCACTTATTTGGCACAAGGACGAACCCTATTGAAATTGGGAAAAATCGGTCTCTGGTAAGTTTCCCTGAACTTGGTTCAGATATATTCTACATATGTTAGGATACATATGTAGAATATACCCAAACTGGTGAAGGGTATCATATAGTCAGCCCAGTCCGACTTTATTACATTCCTTACTGGTTATAGACTAGCCGAATATTGTGTCGATATACGACATAAATGTCAGTTTTGTAAACGAGCTGAAAGTCGTCGTCTTTGTAGAAGTGCTGCAGGGCGTATCAATAGCCGAGATGGTGTGTGTCCCTATAGGCGAATAAGGTCGAATCTATATGTGAGTTGGAGGGCGTTTTTATGGACGAGTTGAAAGGGAGTATATTGGCCTGCTTCCCTTAGAAGAACGTAAGTCCCTCGAAATGTATGAAAAAATGATCCGGAATTTCTTCGAAAAAAATCATTTGTCTAGTTAAGCCCATTTCCACATTGGTGGCTACGCCAGGAAATATTTTTGCGCCAGTGGCTCAAAAACCCTCAAGGTGTGACGGTTTGGTGAGGTTTGTAGCCCGGCGGGGTCAATAGACCTTACTTTTTTGGTCGAAAATGAAGTTTTTGTCTTCGTAGAGGTGTTGCAGGGCATCTCAATAGATAAAGAGCGTGTCCCTATAGGCAAATAAGGCAAAAAATGTTTCTCGAAATTTCTTCGAAATATTTCGATGACATATTGTTGCATCAGGGGCTCAAAATCCCTAGAATTATTTTTAAGAATCCTCGCCGTCCTCAACGTGTGTGTTTATAGGCCAGCGGGGTTAATGGACCCCATTTTTTCGAAAATAAAATTTTCGTCTTTGTATAAGTGAGCTGTAGACCGTTTTTGTGATAAAGATTAAGACTATCTCTTGCTTTGCCAAAGCGTAAAGTCCTTTGAAATTTATGAAAAATTAACCGGAATATCACCGAAAAATCCATTTGACTAATGAGGCCCATTTCCATGTCGGTGGATACGTCAGGAAATATTGTTGCAACTGGATTTCAAAAAGCACAAGAACTATTGTTGAGAATCATCGCCATCATCAAGGTGTGACGATTTGGTGAGGTTTGTAGCCCAACGGGGTCAATGGTCAACCCCAACAGTTCAGCATCGTTTCAAGATCTCAAAAATAGAATTTGTGAGGCTATGAAGAACATAGGACGGCCATTTTTGATTTTTGATTTGGTTGCGTAAAATTTTATGAAGAGAATATAATCCTGCTTTCGTGATTAAGGTGCCTTATTTGTTCCTGTTACTATCCTTTTTAGCATAGGGTTTCCTCTTAGCATCTTCCCACGTATGTTTATTGTATTATAATCTTTGTCGACTTCGATTTCGTGATCCTTCAGGGTTTCGTGCAAGCGCCATTCTGTTTACGCTATGGATATATTTTTTTAATCCATTTCCATCACCAATCGATTTCCATATTTTATATTTAGGGCCTTATTGAAAACGACTAAAGGGCCTACAGAAATCTTATATTTGACAAAATACCAACATAAGGACCTTTTATAGAAGAGGTTCGAATATTAAGACTTCAAAATATCCAATGATATTTTTCTATTCTTAGAAGACTTAATTCACGTTTTCTGTTCAACAAAATTCTTTCTATTCTAATTTTTTTTATCCCACCGAATGCTTTTCTATGGAAAAGCTTTGAAATGTCTTTAATTCTTGATGGTAGTATATCATATAGAAGATATACTTATACTTATATAAAAGTGTATGTTATATATAAGATATAATTCCATTCTTCAGCAGACCTACAAAATAGTTTCTTTAGAAGATCTATAGAAGTTCTCTCATAAAGTATACAATTTACAGTAGGTTGTCATTTCCATGGGCAAACCGAATGTCTGCTATATCATTGTTTTTATATTTTATATAAGAACCGCAGAAAGTTTTTCGCTGCGAATTTATTGTCGAACATATATTTATACCCTACACAGCTATGTTGGTCCTAGACCTTTAAGTATACCGATCATATCTCGACTAGCTGAGTCCGTCCGTCCGTCTGTCCATTATAATTTGTAAACACGATACAGGCCACAGTTATGGACCAATCTTTCCGACATATTGCATGTAGAATGGGTTCTGCCCAATGAAGACCCCTATTGGGGTTTATAAAGATCGGTTAATATTTAGGGGATGAAAAGGACCAAATACTAATTTTTTGTCGGTTTTTCTGGTCGCTCCAAAGGCCGCAATTATGGCCCGAACATCGTGAATTTTTACATGGAGATGGGGATCGGGCCAAAGAATAAGCATACCTCTTTTGTTAAAGATCGGTCAATATTTAGCGGGTCAAATGAACCCTGACTTTTGTGTAAAAAATTAAAAAAATTGCATTCTATGGCGTATATATTTACTCCTAAAGGACAAAAGCCCGAGAAGTTGATTATATATCCAAGAGGAATGGTTAACTGTTAAATTCGAACCAATTATATTGTCATATGTACGGTGTGGGAGTTACACTTAAATATTTACAGGTGCTTACGTACTCAGATGTAACTTAGTAACCCATTACCACACTAGAGTGCGGAAATATTGCGTTGATCGCTGTGAAATTTTCCATGAGGTTCCAGTTTTGGTCAAGGACAACTCCTATAACTTTCGGTGATGACCAGATTAGAATTATGGGATAAAATGGACCGAAAACTTATTTGTGTGTTTTTTGGAGTGGATACTAATAATAAGCTAAACATCACAACACAACCCATGATCAGGGGAATCTGGACAATCTGGACAATTAGAAGGGCTGTACTGAATATGAATAGTAATATTCCTAAACTATGTCAGTGTAAGAAAAAGGTGCTGTTGACCTCTAATCGGGCTAGAGGGAGCAAATATCACGAAATATTTCCCAAGCTCGGAATAAATATCCGCAGGAAGTTAGAGTTCCAAGGTAGTTGTGTAGGGTATCATATGGTCGGCCCCGTCCGACTATACTGTTCCGCTCACTGGTTTCAAAATCGCTTTTATCGGACATCAGTAGAAGTGCTCTATACAAAACTTTATTTTTATGAAGGCTTGTAGAAGAAATGTTTCTCCAAGTATTTTTTCTTTATTAAAGAATTTCTGTAACATCTATTAATTATTGGTCTTTATATACCACATTGATCTCCTGGAAATATTGTATCATTTTCTATTTTGATTAAATGGTTAGCACATTCTAATTTTTATTATTTTCTTCATATTATGTTAATAACAATACATTATATCTGTA